GGAAAGAGAGAGACGGGGTGGGGATGGGGAGAAGGGCACCTTGACAGGGTATTGCTCTGCTGCAGTGTGTTCAGGTCAACCCAAGATAAGGACTTGGGTTCCATAGGACTCTAGGATCACTCAGTGGTGCCCTACTGCCTACGCCACTGTGACTAGAGCAATATTTATTACTAATTCTAACAGAAGAGTGTACGAGTTTTATAATGTGTGTTATCATCCTATTGGTAAAGTGTGGATAATCTGAATCCAGGATCTGCCCTGGTATCAGTCAGCAATCTCAACCCAAACGATTGCTTTGTACTGCCGTTTCTATGGTGTGTAATATCTACACTATGTCCTTCAGTAGCTGAAGGCTCTTCGTGCTCTTTTCTCCAAGTCTCAGTTTGATGGAGTCCCCTTTATCTGTGGTCCTGTCTGTAGGAGAATGGCTGCTGTCATTTCCTTCTTCCACACTGTCTTGGTAGCCTTAATTTTTTCTTCTCTGTTTTCATCTTCAGTTGGAAGCCAAGCTTGATCTTTCTGAAGCTGCCTTTTTCTTCCCAGTCATGTTACTAGGTTGAGATCTAACTCGTCATTCAGTTCAACAGTTGGACTCCTAGGTAAGTTTCCCAGCTGCTGCTGGCCAAAACTCATTTACTAAATTCATCTGTCAAGTCTTTAAAACTGACAACTCCTCCTTAAAGCTACTGGTAGAGGGAGCTGTTATTAGTAAGATCTTGCATTTACACAGGGTCTTACTGTGTTGCCACAACACGTGCTTCAGCCTCCTAGCAGCTCGAAGCACAAGCACATGTCACCATGCACAGCTCCTTCAGACACAGTTTTCCTGTGTTGCCTACACTGGCAGTGAACTCATAATCCTTTTCCCTTAGACTTCTGAGTAGCTAGGACTACAGACCCATACCTCCTATGTGGTATCAGTTTGCTGAGTAGCAGTGCTTGCCAGTAAACATTTAATATGGTAAATAGTATTAAGTATTTCCTAAATTTATATACTGTGAAACCCTTTTTATAAAGGAGCATCCCTGCTTTTGAAAAAATAATGCTTAGTGAAATTAAATTCACAAATTCTACAATAAAATTTACTTAGTAATAGAATGACTGTCTTGGAGAACAAATTTCCTGAATGGATACTTGTTACTATTCACAAAGTATCAAAATTATTTTTATAGGATTTGAGGATAAGCCTTATCAAACATCTATAAAACATCCCTTGCATATTTAATCATATTCATATATACCACGTAGTAACGATACGGTTACTTAAAATCAAGTCTTACATTTTGCTGGTTTATAACAAATAGCACCTTCCTTAAGAGAGCTGCATTTTTCGTGTTTCCAAACTCCTTTTGGATCCAAGACAACACAATTTCCAGGAGATTTTTGGCCTTTCCACGGGATATAGTCAAATGCACTGCCATCAGACCATTCAAAACTTGATTCACTTCCCTATTTTAAGAATAGAAATAACCTGAATTCAGATGTATGACTTCAAAAAGAGCATAAAGAACAACATAGATACTTGCAGAAATATTGAAATGACACATTAATCATCTGCTTACAAGTATTACAAGTCTGGATCTATTAGTAAAATCAAAGATTTACTTTTTTTTTTTTTTGAGAGGTTTTCGCTATAGGGCACGTGCACTCGCCAGACAGACAGAGAGAGACATAGAGAAAGAAAGCGAGAAATCACCCCCCAGGGGGGATGGTCACACCGCAATCCCTTCTCCTCCATTTTCCTCTCGGGATCTTGGGCATGCACGCACACGCGCCTGGCGTGAGTTTTAAGCCACCGGGTCCGAGACACGAACCGCAGTTGACTACGTGGGAGTCCAGTGACATAGCCATTACGCTAACTGCTGGTTCCCCAGAGATTTACTTTTAAAAACGTTTCTCTTTTATTTGCTACTGAAAAGTGAAATACTGGGTCATAAGAGAAATCATGGTGCATTTTTCATAGAAAAATATGTCATGACTTTTCTGATGACTCAATAGCATAACAAAATTTCCTTCTAATGCAGTTCAGATTTTCGAAAATCAGAAAATCTAATTATCTGCCCTAATTACTATGCTCTAGGCAAATTATCCAGTGCTTTATTTCTATTTCTTCCCCACAAATTACTGCCTCAAATACTTGAGGTTGGACTTCTCAGACTTCAAGCTTCTAAAAGACATATTTGAGATATACTGGTGCTTCTTTGGGTCAAGTCAGAAAGTAGAAATAAGCCCTATATATTGAATTAATTCAACTACAGTCAAACTACACATATTCCTTATAGTCCACTCATATCAAGGTAGGAAGGAAGATAATCAAGTAGGAAAAGATATCACAGAATTCATATCATAACTTATCAAGATTATTGGTACATGGTCTATCCTAGCAAAGAGTAGCTTTTTCAACCTGCTGCCTAAAGTTTCTAGTGGGAAAGAACAGGAATAAGGTTTATGGCTAAATTGACTCTGTCTCATAATTAATTATTCCCTGTTCTAGCATTCTCAGGATCCCATCCATGATGCAGACAGTAACTGCAGGAACTTTTTTTTTTTAGAGGTTATTTCCTATATAGCGCATGCGCTTGCCAGAAAGACAGAGACAGAGAGCTAGAAATCATCTCCCCCGGGAATGGCCTCGCTGTAATCCCTTGTCCTCCATTCTCCTCTTGGGTTCTCAGTCACACATGTACACGTGCCCAGCATGAATTTAAGCCATGAGGTCCAGGACTCGAACCATAGTCAACTACATGGAAGTCCAGCGACATAGCCATTGCACTAACTGCTGGCCCCAGCTGCAGCAGCATTTAATGGTTCACTTTCTGATTCACTTTGAACTCCCTTAAGCCTCAGGTCTCTTCATTCTCTTTCAATCTGCAACAAAAATCTATTGATTCAGAGGTATCACAGTCTTACCTCCTTTCTTCCCTCATGTGGAACAATATCCTTACTCCTTGCCTGTAGAGTAAGCCACTCTGATCTGTAAGATCTCTTCTCTCTGTCCTGCTATTAGGGTGTATCTTCTGATCAAGGGGGTTTGGGATTGAGAGTCAAGTTACTAAATTCATTTATTAATGTTTCTGAGCAGTCAGGAGGACAGGCCCTGAGTCAGCTGTCCTCTGTGACCAAATCCAGGCTTGGGTGTTCTGCAAGAATTGAGTTCTGACCAAGGAAGATCTTGGGAATACTGGACTTAAGAAGCAGTGAGAACCAAACCTAGATGTGAGTCCAGGGATTTACATTTTTTTTTTTTAAGAGAGATTTTTGCAATAGGGTGCATGTGCTCACTGGAGACAGAGAGTCAGAAAGAGAGAAAGTGAGAAATCACCCCCGGAGGGATGGCAATCCCTTCTCCTCCATTCTTCTCTTGGGATTTGGGGCATACATGCCCACATGCCCAGCATATTTAAGTCACCAGGTCCAGGACTCAAACTATGGTCGGTCATCTGGGAGTTCAGCACCATAACCACTATGCCACCTGCTGGCCCCCAGGGATTTACTTTTGAGCATTTATTTGGGACATCTGTTCTGTACAGTTTGAGTAGGACTTAAAATTTAGAGATAAAGTAGTATATTCTGTTGCTAGTCTTTTTTTTTTTAAGAACGAGTTTATATAACACTCAAAATTAAATGATATACAAGTGGCTTCCATTTGTGACAAATACAGATTTATAATCCCAACCTTCACATAATTCTGAATATTGTTTTCTGTGTTTTATAGTTTTGTGGTTTGTGTCTCTGGCTACAATTTTTCACATTATTAATGCTATCAAGCAGCAGTGAACTAGAAAAGAAAAATACTCAAATTCAAAATGTGAATAGTACTTGGGATTTCTTTCTTTTTTGGGGGGGGGAGAGGTTCCCCCTCCCCCCACTATAGGGCACATGCGCTCGCCAGACAGACAGAGACATAGAGACAGAAAGCGAGAAATCACTCCCCAGGGGGGATGGTCACACCGCAATCCCTTCTCCTCCATTCTCCTCTTGGGATCTTGGGCATGCACGCACACGTGCCCAGCGTGAGTTTTAAGCCACCCGGTCCGGGATGCGAACCGCGGTCGACTACGTGGGAGTCCAGTGACATAGCCATTACGCTAACTGTTGGTCCCCTCTTTCTTGACATCTATAACCTCAATCCAATTCTAATCATACAATTCCAGTTTCAACACAACCATTTTTTGTATGTAAGGCATCATTATAAATGCATAAATATACTGATTAATAGAATTCAAATCATAGCATAGTAGATATGTTTATCAGAGTATTAATCCTGAATAGTATTAATTTCTAGGGGAAAAGTGAAAAGAAAGTATACATTTACTTATTTGTTAAGATTTTTAGTTGATTCCATATATAAATCCTTGTGTCAAAGCCTTTATAGAAACATTATTATCTTGATTTTACAGAGAAGGAAATAAGTGCAAAGGTTAAATAACTTGTTCATGATCACCCAGCATGTGAATGAAGACTTGCCTCTAGTATTGAAACTCAGGTTTTTCTGATTCTATGCTATTCCTTTTCAGCTTTCCAACTGGTTTTTTTCAGGCAAGCCACAGAAGAGTCAAGATACTAATTGATTGGTTCCTTGGGATGGTTGGGCCATTTGTGTTAGTGGATTCTACAGAGTGCTATTTGTTCTATGTTATAAAAGGTAAGCACTGCACTATGAAACTCAAGACTTAAATCTGATGTTGTACTTTAAATTAATATTTTAGTCAAATTTCCAACCTTCAAAGTAACAGATTTGGAAATTTTCTGGAAAAGAAAATAATACTTACATCATGACTTGAGAGTCCAACCCACAGTGGAAATCCATCACGTTTCACAATATCTTCCAGAAAGAGCTGACATTTTTGGTCATGAACACTTGCCAAATAACCTCCACTTTTAGAACATATACTTAATGCCTCATACCATGTTATCTTTTTTTGAATAATGTTATAAATTCCATCTTCATATGAGATGAATTCTGGCAATGTAGTATTATATTCTTCCTTGTAGTCAACTATAACATGTAAATTAAAAGTGTTAATAATTAATTTAAATTACAATCAAATACATATTTTGGATAAGGTGATATGCAATCATTTAAAAAGTTAAATAAAAATGGGCTTCTTATTAATAAGGAGATTTCTTTTTTAGTGCCACAGCACATACGATAGGCTTGCTCTTTTTCTTTTTTTCTTCCCTTTTCTTCCTTTCTTTCTTCTTTCTTTATTTCTTCCTTCCTTCCCTCTCTCTCTCTTCCTCCCTCCCTCCCTCCCTCTCTCTCTCTCTCTCTCTCTCTCTCTCTCTCTCTCTCTCTCTTTCTTTCTTTCTTTCTTTCTTTCTTTCTTTCTTTCTTTCTTTCTCTTTCTCTCTCTTTTTGTTTCTTTGCTGTAGGATGCATGCACTCACCAGAGAGAGAGCCAGAGAGGAGAGAAGGTGAGAAATCACCCTCAGAAGGGATGATCACACCATAATCTCTTCTCTTCCATTCTTCTCTGGGGACTTTGGGCACACACACACGCATGTACCTGGCATGATTTTCAAGTTGTTGGGTCTAGGGTTTGAACTATGGAGACAGCCATTTGGGATTCAGTCACCTTAATCTCCATGCAATCTGCTGGCCCATAATAGGCTCTTAAATATTACAGTTATCTGGTTGATTTAAAACAGTTATAAACATAGTCTTTCATTTAAAGAGCTCACAGATTAATTGAAGACAGAAAACAACAAAATGAAATGATGGCAAAGCTGTTAGCCACTAAAACATGTAAGACTTAATAGAGAAGAGTTCATTAGAATTCTAGGAGTCATGAAGCCTGCTTGATTAATTGGGTCTGGAGCATTAGATGGAATTAAAACTAAAAAGAAATAAGGTCACTAGAAAGTAGGAAAGTGATAAAAACAACAGCAGCAACAAAATCACAATGATGAAAATATCTTAAAGGGACACGGAAGCCAAGTGAGAGCTACTGGGACAGTCCCACAGTGCAGCAGTTAAGAGCTGCAGAGAGGAAACAGGATCCTACGTGGCCAACCATTGTTTGACTCCTGGTCCTGGTGGCTTATATGTCAGGCACAGGTATGTATGCCCGGTATCCTGATGGAATGGAGAGTTGATTGGAGGAAAAAGGATTGCAGCATGACCAGACCTGGATGGGGATGCTCTCTGTCTCTCTCTCTTTTGCATAACAGAAAAAACATTTTTTAAATGAAAGAGTTTTCAATGGCCAAAGCTGAAGCAATTTGATAAAAATGTTAAATAATGTAGCATTTTGGAATATAAACCTAAGTATAAAATAAATAATCAAGAGCCTATACTTTATCTAGAGGGTTAGGTGAAATTAAGAATAAAAAAAGAGGGGAATCAGCAGTTAATGTAATGGCTATGTCACTGGACTCCCATGTAGTCGACTGCGGTTCATGTCCCGGAGCCGGTGGCTTAAAACTCACGCCGGGCGCGTGTGTGCCCAAGATCCCGAGCAGAGAATGGAGGAGAAGGGATTGCGGTGTGACCATCCCCCCTGGGGGGTGATTTCTCGCTTTCTGTCTCTATGTCTCTCTCTGTCTCTCTGGCGAGTGCACGCACCCTATAGTGAAAACCTCTCCAAAAAAAAAAAAAAGAATAAAAAAAGAGAGTAAGGTAACTATAAAGTAAATGAGTGCTAAAAGTAAAGAAACAAGACCACAATGATGGGAGTACAAATAATCAAGCAAGTAAATGAAAAAATGGGGAGAAACAGACAACTCTTCTGTGTCGAAGAATTTATATAGATACTGCCCTTTCAGGAAGATGGAGGATAATTCTGCACTTTGTAATTATGAAGCAAGCACTATTTCTTCCTCACAAAAACTACAGTATTGGGAACCAGCAGTTAGCATAATGGCTATGTCGCTGAACTACCACGTAGTCGACTGTGGTTCAAGTCCTGGACCTGGTGGCTTAAACTCATGCCAGGTGTATGTGCGTATGTGCCCAAGATCCTGAGAGGAGAATGGAGGAGAAGGGATTGTGGCATGACCATCCCCCTAGGGGGTGATTTCTCGCTTCCTATCTCTCTGTTTCTCTCTGTCTTTCTGGCAAGCGCACACGCACAATAGCAAAAGAGGGGAATTTCCAGGACAAGAAAAAAAAAAAAAAGAAAGTTACAGTATGCAAAGAAGGAAAATGAGTAACTTCACAATAGAGAAACCTAACAAACACTGCCTTGACCCAAGTCATCAGGGTTAAAATCAACAATGATATGTCATGCCAATAGTATGTACCAGGGGTATGATGTGATGAGCATGACACTTCCTATCTTCCCAAACTAATAGCCCTAGTTTAATCATGAGGAAAACATCAGCCAACTCAAACTAAGGGACATTCTATGAAATACATGATCACTTAAAAACTGTCAATGTTATCATAAACAAGAAATCTGAGAAGCTATCACAGCCAGGAAGAGCTTAAAAACACATTAAGAGTAAACACTGTGTGGTAAGTTTTACTCTTTGATATCAAGACCATGACACCAGGGACCATGTCTTGTCCTTCCTCCTTAACCTCTGAAGCACCTCAGGGAGGGCTGAATTCAAAGGATGCATTAAAAAAATGACTGCATGATTTCCCTTAGTGAAGCGAAATGGCTATGTGATACCTTTGTAGTAGAAAGAGACTCTACAATAGTATACTTACCCATTTCAATTTTACAAGCAAGAATGCTATGTTGGTAAAAATAAAGTGCTTCTTCAATCACATTAAAGGTCTGAATATCCCAGAAGCCATCAGTGCTCAAACCAGCCAAAAATTTGCCATTTTTTACAGTTGGTCTTCCTGTTCTCCAGTGTGTATACGACAACATAGTCTTATCAAACCACATAAGTGAATTATCTAGAGAGGAAGCATTTTTTTTCTGGCTTGAGATTAAATTGAGACTTGAATTACACTGTAATGTTAATATTTTAAAATTAACTAGTTTTCTTTCTCTTTTCCTTACCTTCTATAAGGTTGTATGTTTTATATATTCCTTTAAAATATGTTCTGATTATAACAGTAAGTTATGCTTATTTTGAATTTGAAAAATATAAATTATAAACATGAAAATTACAATTAACCTAGAATTTCACCATCCTTCAATAATTTAGCACTTTTTCCCATTAACTATTCATTTCTCTTATATTTATGTTTAATTGCAATAGAAATGAACATAATTATTTTATTTAGAAATCACTGATACTGAAAAATTGGTGGCAAAAATTTCTTCTTTAGGTATAAACTACACAAAATTGTGCATACTTACAGTAACTAGTCTTGTGTTTTTTTAATTTGACAATGTGTGTGTGCACTCATCAGAGAGACAGAGAGCGAGAGAGAAAGAGGGAAAATGAGAAAAACCATTCCCCACCTTGGAATGGTTACACTACAGTCCCTTCTCTATTTCTCCCTCCTTTGGGAATTTTGGGCACATATGCACCCATCCCTTGTGTGTTTCTGAAGTCATTGGGTCTGAGACTTGAACTGCATGGTTGATCATATGGGATCCAGCTGCCTTAACCACCAGGCCACGGCTGACTCATTCATTGATTTTTTTTAAAGAAAGATGGCAAGACTAGTCAATATATTAGACTTTCTGTTTTTAAAAGTTTCCTAGTAGGGACCAGCAGGTGGAATGGTGGTGAAGGCACTGGACTCCCACATGTCTGAATGCGGTTTGAGTTCTGGACCCTGAGGCCTATAACTCTTGGCTCCTCCTGCCCAAAATCCGAGGAGGAAAATGGAGGAAAAGAGATTGTGGCATGGCCATTGCCCCTTGGGTGGTGGTGGTGGGGTATTTCTCACTTTCTCTCTGTCTCCGGTGAGCTCATTCGCCCTATGGCAAAAAAAAAAAAAAAAAAAAAAAATTTTAAGTTTTCTAATAGGGCTAACCCTGTAGTGTAGCAGTTAGGCACTATGCAAAGAAAGCTGGATCACTTGGGACCAGCAGTTAGCGTAATGGCTATGTCACTGGACTCCCACGTAGTTGACTGTGGTTCACGTCCAGGACCCGGTGGCATAAAACTCATGCAGGGCGCGTGTGCGTGCGTGTCCAAGATCCCAAGAAGAGAATGGAGGAGAAGGGGTTGGGGTGTGGCCTTCCCCCCAGGGTGTGATTTCTCACTTTCTGTCTCTCTGTCTGTCTGGCAAGCACACGTGCCCTATAGCAAAAATCTCTCTCTCTCAAAAAAAAAAAAAAAAAAAAGGAAAGCTGGATCCCACGTGGCTAACCAGGGTTCACATCCAGCCTGAAAAACACACTGGGCATGTGTTCATGTGCCCAGGATTTTGACAGGATAAAGAAAAAGAGGAAAAGTTATTGTGGCATGGCCAGACCCCATTGGAGGCTGCTTTGTCTCTGTTTTTCTACCTTGCTTGGTGCCTCTCATTCTTTGGCATAAAACTAACTCATATCAATCATAATTAAATGTGTGGTATTTAGTCCAAATTTTAAATATTCTATCCTACTGTCAGACCATGTGTCTCATTTTTCTAATGCTTACAATATATACACCCCAAGTCAATGCTACAAACTGAAAAGTGCCACATAATACAATAGAAAAGTGATTCTGCTTTCCCTTATCCCATATAGAGGTATACAATAAGTACTATAGCTTTATACATACATTTAGTTAGTCTTGAAATGCTAAAAAAAAGAGTGAAGAAATGAAATTATTTCCCACTGTTTAACTCTAATCATGGAGGTAATAATACATTAAGAGCAGAACAGGGAGACAAATAACCATCTTTTATTTACATGTTATGATAAATACACAGCAAGACTTTTGTATGTTAGTAAATATGCATTTAAGAACTATAATTTTGTAGTTTGACAAATAGGTTCTAATGAAGTATGACTAGAAGCAGAGAGAGTTGGCAGGTTTAGAACTTACTTTCATAAGTTATTCCTAACATGACCCACGAAGCCATATAATTGAAGTAGAGAAGTTGCTCAAGAACAAAATTATTCTCCTTTTCATCTCGAATACTCAGAATATGTGATTTTGGATCTGTTAAATAAAAAATAGTCAATAATTTTAATAATTATTTATCCAGAACACTTTGTTTCATTTGATGGACTTAGAGAATTTTATTTTCAAGTTTAATATACTCTAAAACTTAAAATAATATTAGAAAAGTACAAAGACATGTAAATTAAAACCACCTTATACTAAAACGAATAGGTTAAGAAGTTTTCAAATATTTTGCTATTAAATTTGGTCTTACAGTATAATGGAAAACTAGTATTTGAGCAGAGAATCTAAAACATTTATCATTTTATATTCCCTCCATTTAAAGCTTATATTAAGTTGTTATTATTCTACCCATATTTATGATACAGTGTCAAAGAGTACCCTCCATTAAATAATACCTTGTGGATGGGCTATAGCATAAATTGTTTTCTTTAGAGATCACTATTATATTAGGGTTAAAGAAGTTTAGTTAATTTCTCAAAGTGTGTTTTTAAAAAATAATTATTTATTTTATTTATCATTATTTTTATTTTTATTTTAAATTGACCATAGTAAGACACACACAGAGAGGGAGAGGGGGAAAGAGGGAGGGAGGGAAAGTGGGGGGAGAGAGGGGGAAGAGAGAGAGAAAGAAAGAAAGTGAGAAAACAAGCTGCCCGGTCTAGTACTTGAACCATAGTCAGCCATATTGGAGTCCAGTGCCTCTAATCACTACGCCACCTGCTGGCCCCTTAAAGTGTGTGCTTCTTTTTCTTTTTCTTTTTTTTTTTTTTTTGAAATAACCATGGAATTTCTCAGAAAAGGTCTGCATGGATTAGGGCCAGCAAGTGGTGTGGTAGTTAAGGCACTGGACTCTCACATGGCAACAGCAGTTCAAGTCCCAGACCTGGTGGCTTGTTTTCTCACTTTCTTCCTTTCTCTCTTTCTGTCTCTCTGTGGTAATAGCATGTAATCTACAACAAATTAAAAATTATAATAATAATAATAATTATAAATAAAATTAAATAATTCTAAAAATCCAAATAAAGTTTATGTTAACATACATTTGATGATGTCTAACAGGGGGTCATGGTGTCTAGTTAACCTTGTTCGTTTTCTAAGGATCTGTTTTTCAAGAACATTTCTCAAGACCAGTATTAAACAGGCACACTTTGGAAAATAATGGTTTAACATTTCCCGTAGGAACTTCCTACAAAGTTTATATTTCTGTCAGTTCCATTGTTCAGGAGTCACAAATCTTCTGTGGATCTTGTGGGAAATATCTAGTCTTGAGAGCTGTAAGTATGAAACGTGCATTTCTTTCAAGCCTAGCTGCTTTCTTGTCGTACATCTAAGCTTTCAACCACTCAAATTAACCTATTTTCACTTTACTCACACCTACCGTGATTTAACATCCATTCTTCTCTGCACTTCGGTGTTATTTCTTTTTAAATAGAAACCATTTTGTTTATACACATGACAGACTAGTTTTGGGTTTTTTTTTTTGAGAGGTTTTTGCTATAGGGCGCGTGCGATCGCCAGAAAGACAGAGAGAGACAGAGAGACAGAAAGCGAAAAATTAGGGGGGATGGCCACGCCGCAATCCCTTCTCCTCCATTCTCCTCTCGGGATCTAGGTCACGCACGCACATGCACCAGGCGTGAGTTTAAGCCACCAGGTGTGGGACTCGAACTGCGGTCGACTACATGGGAGTCCAGCAACATAGCCATTATGCTAACTGCTGGTCCCGCCAATGACAGACTAGTTTTTGAATGGATGAGGAAAGAAAGAGGTTACTACTCTGCTTACTTTTTTTTTTTTTTAAAGTTTCTGCCATAGGGCATGTGCGCTCACCAGAGAGAGAAAGAGAGAGAAAGTGAGAAATCAACCTCTAGAGAGGATGGCCACACTGTGATCCCACTTCCTCCGTTCTTCTTTCGGGATTTGGGGCATGCATGTACACATGCTGGTGTGATTCTCAAGCTGTGGCATCTGGGACTCACATGGCAAAGCTGGCCATGTGAGACCCAGTCTTAACCTCCATGCTATGTGCTGACCTTTATAGTTACCATTTTAACTAAACACACATTTGAAATATTGACACTGATAATGTAGATATTAGAAGATGAGGGGGCTGGCAGGTGGCATAGTGGCTAATGCGCTGGACTCCCACATGGCTGACTGCAGTTCAAACCCCTGACCCAGTGGTTTGAAACTCATGCCTGACACAAGTATGTGAATGGAGAAGTGACTGTGGCCTGGCCATCCCCGCCGAGGGGGCGATTTCTCTCTTTCTGGCTCTCTCTCTCCCTGGGGAGCACATGTGCCCTATAGGAAACATTTCTCTCTAAGAAAAAAACATTAGGAAATGAGCGTTTTTGAGATCTAGTTACCAGTGGCAATAAGAAACATTAATAACACAGTTGAGATGTAAAAAATCAGCACAATATACCATAATGACAGCCTAATAGACTTACTCAGTTTCTGGCATTTAGCATGAACTTCATCCTGTGCTGTTGCAATATGTCTATTCTTCGTTATCATGAAATTGTAGCAAGAGTTCTGAAATGGGATCCACGGAGTATTCAGAACAGGAGACGGACATTTAACACTGTCAACTGGTTTGACCTCCTTTTCAGTCTCATCTAGTAAAAAAGAGTTAATAGTAAGAACTCTAATTTCAAATATAAATGTTAAATCGTATTCACAGTCATTAGGCTGGATTTGTAGGACATGTTCAGGAAGCTAAGGAGTAATCGCCTGGTGACACGCACTCTCGGTTTAGATTCAAATACAGCAGACAGAATGCTGTACTTCTACAGGAAGAATACTATTGGACACATTTCCTTACCCCTGCTATGGAGGGGGAGAACGTGAAAAATGAAGTGCTATTAGCTAAAATGCCATTTCTACCTTCCTCCATTACCAAATGTCAAGGAGAAGAGGCCACCTCAGAGAAGCTATACAAACCTATTAATTAATAACAGGCACCTAACTAGAACTTTAAGAATTCATTTTTGAGTTCATTGTTGCTGACATCTCTAATTTTAAAGGAATATTTTAACAAAATATTTGATGTTCTAAACAAGTCATTGTTATAACCAAATAAAAGAGAAATGTTATTTAAAATGTACCATCTAGAAAATCTGATTTTTAAAATTTTACATAAAGGTCATATATTCAAAAAATGCAAATGTAGATATGCTCTACCCAAAATAAACTGACCCGACTTAATATGTAGTAGAGACCATTCAGTATCTTTTGCAGCAAATCCTTCTGTCTGTGAAGCAGTGTCTTCTTTCAACCACAAACCCACAAACGTGGGCCCCTAACAGCTGTTGAAACTACTTCCTTCTGATCGGGTTAGAAATTGCATATCTGACTCAGGCTCAGTTTATCAGATTCTTTCTAAGGATTTGAAAGGAACATTCAGAAATCGTCAGCTCAGCTCCAGTTATAGCTGTAAGGAAAGCTACAGCACTGTCATACTCCACAGTGTAGAGAGAGACATACCACTTAAAAAGAGTACAGGTCCGCAAAAAGGAGCAGACATGAGAGGTGGAAGAGAGTATCTCTGTTCCTAATTCCCACTCCCCTGGAGGCTCAGCCCTATCCTCATTTAGGGAGTTCCCTTAGGGTTAAGCTAGCATGAACTGGTTGCATTACTTGCAACCAACTGAGTCTTAACAGTGGCTCATGGAAGTTACATTAGTTGTTAGGACCAGTTGGTGTGGTTGGTGGTAAAGGTGCTGGGCTCTTGCATGGCCAACTATAGTTCCAGTCTTTGACCTGGCAGCTTGAAAAATCACACTGGGCACATTGTATGCATGCCCAAAAATCCCAGGAAGAGAATAGAGGAAAAGGGGTGGCAGCATGGCCATCTTGATGGGAGGCAGGGAGTGATTTCTCACTTTCCCTCTCACTGTCTCTCTCTCTCCATCTCTCTCTGGTGAGCGTGCGGATCCTATGGCAAAAAATCTTTAAAAAAAAGTCAATGTTAAGAATTATGAAAGAGTAGGCTGGCCCTCTGCCCTAGTGGTTAAGGGAGCTGGATCCCATATGACCTGGCAGCTTGAAATACACCCACTATATGGTAGTGTATGCCCCAAATCTTGACAAGATGGAGAGGTGGAGAGGGGATTATGGTGTGACCACCCCTCATTGAGGGCTACTTTCCCTCCCCTTTTTCTATCCCCTGGCTAGTGAATGAACTCTGTCAATTTGAAAAAGAAAAAGTTATTTAAAAAATAATTATGGGAACTAGCAGTTAGTGTAATGGCTCTGTTGCTGGACTCCCATGTAGTCGACAGCGGTTTGAGTCCTGGACCTGGTGGCTTAAACTCATGCTGGGCACATGTGCGTGCGTGCCCAAGATCCTGAGAGGAGAATGGAGAAGAAGGGATTGCAGTGTGGCCATCCTTCCTGGGGAGTGATTTCTCGCTTATGTCTCTCTATCTCTCTGTCTTTCTGGCAAGCGCACGCGTCCTATAGCAAAAACCTCTCCAAAAAAAGAAAAAAGAAAAAAAATTATGAAAATTTGGCCACAGTGGCACAGTGTAATGCAACATCATGTAGTGTTGAGGCTACATGGGAAGGTCGTAGGTTTGCATCCCGAGGTCTCTCTGCACACACGTGAGCCGTGTGTGCATGTGTCTGTGATCCTTGTTGGAAGAAGCTGGAGACAGATCATGGCATGAAGATTCTGCTGGGTTTTCCCTCTCCTCTCTTTTTCTCTCTCTCACACACACACACATACACACACACAGTCTTGGAAAAAAATAAATAAACTTTAAAAAAAATTATAAAAGAATTCCCACAAATGTAAGTTTTCTATTAACAGTATAAATACAAAGTATATGCAAAATGAGGCTGAATAATAACAGGACTTAAAGTGTCAATCACCATTGTCAGCTGACAAAAATAAAGATAAATAATGTCTAAAATAACTAATTAATGACAACATATATATAATAATTCTACTTGAATACAAATTTTCATGACCAATATTGCTGTACAAGGACACAGTTATAATTTCTTCACACTCTAAAACCAGATTTTATTAAATCACTGCTTAGAAATTCTGCTATGCCTAAGACTGACAACAATTTAAGAATTAAAATATTTAAATTTACATACTTCCTGGATAGTAGCAAATAGCACCTGGTTGATTATCACTGCAATCCGCTGTTTTCCAGAATCCATCAGTGTCTAATATGACACAATCTTCAACTTGCTGATTATCAGCCCAGCGACTAAAACGAAGACGTTTCCCATCTGACCAGCCAAAGTTGCGTTCATCCTGTCAGGAGCACAAACACAGTTCAAGTGATAATATCTGTTTTCTATTTTGTATTATTTTGACCCTCAAGGTTAATCTAATCACTTTGTTGGTGTTACCAAAGGGCATATGTGCTTGCTAGAAAGAGAACACCCCCAATGGGGAATGTTCATGCTACAATCCTCCTTCCTCATTCCTACCTGTATCGGGATCTTGGGCATGAGCACACACACACACAGACACACACACACACACACACACACACACACACACACACGGAGTATTTTTCAAGTCATGGACAGGGATTCCAAATGTGATCAGTCATGTAAGACTGGCTCCCTTAACCATTGTGCTATGGGGGCCAGCCCTTGCCCTCAAACAACTTTTAATTTAATTTTATATTTAACTCCCTTACACAGCACTTACTTTGTGCTGGGCTGAGTGCACTATGCTGAGTGCTTTACAAACATCGACTTACCTAATCCTCATAACAACCACAGGAGAGAGGTACTATTATTCTTTGTTTATTTGTTTTTGCCTTAGGGTGCATGTGCTTGTGGAGGGTAAGGGATAAAGAAAGAGAAAGTGAGAAATCACTCCCCAGGGGGATGGCCATGCTACAATCCTTTCTCTTTCATTCCCCTTTTGGGATTTTGGGCACACATGCACTCACACGTGCCCAGTGTTACTTCCAAGCCACCAGGTCTAGGACTCAAACTGTGGTTGACTACGTGGGAATCGAGGTACCTCAACCTCCATGCCACTGGCTGGCACCGAGAAAGGTACTCTTATTATTTCCATTTTACAGAAGAGGGAACTGAAGGTATGCAATGTGTACCAAGTCAGAGAGACTGTGAAACGCAACTCTGGAACTCTACTCCAGCCTATCAGACCCTACAGTCTGTATCCTACTTGCCACACTGTGCTGCCTCACACATCATTGAAGCTGTTGGTTGCTGGAAATCAGAACGCTAAAATGGAATGGGGACCACTGTACGACAACAGAGTATATTGGAGAGAACATGAGTTTTAGAACTGAGCATTTGCGGTTTTGAATCCTGGTTCAGTCATTCACTAGTTTTTGACTAGTGAGCCTACCTCTCTAAGTTTCCATTCCTTCTTGAACGTATTAAATGGGTGGTTCCACTTCAAGGGGCTGGAATGAATGGGCTAATGTGTAAAACACATAACCCAGTGGCTAGCTGGCACACAGAAGTACACAGATGCTAGTGCCACCCCTCAGGCCTTGTGGATCTCACATCACTATTTTCACACTTGTCTTTGGGAAGAAGTTTTTTATTTCACTGTATTTTAATGTGAGCTAGAAGTTGGCGGACATCTCTCTCTACAGCATGGATGAGGGCTGATGCCAACCTGTCTTGAGATAGGCTTTGGAAAGTAGGTAGAGAGATCCAGGGAATATGGTGTGGGATACAGTACTGTCTGAGTTTCCTCATGGTGCCACTAGAGTCTAGGCCTTATATATCAATGCCGGGCTCATCGACCATGGAGATACGCTTTTCTGAGGCCCAAGGCAATCTGGATCTCTAGTTTACTTGGAATATTGAGTGAAGGCCACATAGTCTCCTGAGTGAACCATAAACAGCAAATACTGTCAAGCCCCAATATCACCAGTCACTTCATTCTGAACTGTTCTTGCCTTAGTTAATCCATACGACATTGTGGCCTCAAATGTGGCTTTTGGGAACATGGCTAGGTCTGGGACTCCACCCATGGCTGACTACATGGGAGTCCAGTAATGTAACCATTTCGCCATCTGCTGGTCCCTCACTGCCACACTCTTCCATACCTCAGAACTACTGCACCTCAGAGACATGCCTTAGTTGAGGCCAACATCATTTCCAGCCTGAATTTATGTGAAAATAACTGGCCTCTCTGTCTCCACACCACTTGCTTCCTCCCCAACCCTCTACCCGTGTCATCTCACTTTAGGGAAAATCTTGTACTGTTACTACTCTGCTTAAAACTTTTCAATATCTTTGTATTGTTTCAAAATAAAGTGTTATTTGTTAATATCCTACTATCCTCCAAAGATTTAAGACAGCATATGAAGATATATAATAAGCAAATACATACAATATGTTAAAATTATGGTTGAAAGTAAAAAAGGGAACCATAGAAAAAGACTGAAAATAGGATCATTAATAAGACCAAATTGTTATTATTATTATTTTAGGTTTTTGCTAAAGGGTACATGTGTTTACCAGAGAGACAGAGAGAAATAGTGAGAGGGAAAGTGAGAAATAATCCCCCAGGATGACCATGTCATGATCCCTCCTCCACTCTCCTCCAGGGATTTTGGGCACACACTGACATGTGCTTGGCGTGATTTTCAAGCCACTAGGTCTGGGCTTGGGACTGCAGTAGGCCGGGTGGGAGTCTAATGCCTCAGTCACCTATCTGCTGACCCAGAGCAGCAGGAGAAAAAAGTAGGGGGCAGGGGAACAGGATGGTATGATCCTAATTTTCTTAATGTTTGGTATGTATCAAAATATTAAACCTTATTTATCGTCAGGTTCTTAGATAACAGGTGATTTTAATTGTCCTGTTTTAATTGATTACACAAGTTTTCTACAGTGGCAATATTGCTTTTGTTTTAAAAGATTAAAGGTGACTGAAACTAAGAAATGCAATAACTTATTCCCCTCGCAGTGATGGGCTTCATGGAATTTTAAACACTGAAGAAAGCCTGAGTAAAAGTAGTGTTATTCAGGAGGTGGTGCTCTGAGGTGGGTAAGCAGCAACCTGATCTCCTGGCTTGATCTGGAAGTAAATTTTAGAATCCCCAGAGGCTCAGAGAGACTATTCTTCAAGCATTTTCTAAATGCTACTTTTAATTGTGCTTCTGGTAATAATCTTAGTAATCTTAGTGTTTTTTTTTTTCTTTTTTCTTTTTCTTTTTTTCCTTCACTCTCCAGCTTAATGTTGCATTTGTGCTAGGACTAAATTATCATCTGTCACATTTCCTCCAACCGTTTGTATACTGGGGTATTCCATAGCCATGGAAAGAAGCAAAAAGAGCCTATAATGCTAGGAGGAATATGACAGCATCACCTCCCAAAATCCCCTAGTTATTTATTGCCCAAACCTTCAGCTGCATAATAATTCCTATTCATGCTACATGAACATAGGTTAGTGTCGGGAATTAACAGAAGACTAGCATTCTTTGGTGGGCTATGAAGTGAATGAGAAATATCCAAAACATCTATCCAGGAGAAAACTCGAGATGTGATAAAACATTATCCTGATCCCTTTCTATTGAGAATGACTTGATTTCACTCTGCTGATTTTGCAAGGGGTGGAAACTATTCAATACCTCCCATTGTGTTCTAAATGTCCTAACCCATTTGTTTCTCCATCATTCCTTCTCAAGATTTCCGTGGGAAGAGATATGGCAGCTCCTGATTCTAGCACAGTCTTTAAATAGAATAAATAAAAAGAAGGGCTCAAATATATGTGTCCACAAGAACCTTTTCTTAATCTAAACAATAAAGCACTAGATTTTTTCAATAGTGAAGAAATGATTGTTGCTATAAGCCACATAGCAATGAAACTTGCTAGAGTAAAATGTCAAGATCTCTGGTTTTTTTTAGCCTGATAGGAGAGATGTTATTTGCAATGAAGAAATAACGTATTCAGTGGGCCAGACCTGACCTGAGACTGAACACTTACGTCTAGACTGGAGAGTCCAATCCATAAAGAGGAGTTGTGACGGACAGCTTGCACGGTGAGGAACGCCTGCTGGTAGGGATCGGTGATGCTCACCAGGTGCATGTTGTCTTTCAAACACTCCCTCAGAGCATCCTGCCAGGTCAAAGCCTTAGGGATTATTTTGTACAAGTTATTCCCATACTTCACAGTTTCTGAAGTATTCTGCAAAGTCTGTGTGCCTTCAAATTCTGTATGTAAAAGAAAACAACAGGACTGCCCATTCTGCAAGTCATGAAACATTTATTTAAATTTCTCCTCATGCCAATCTACCTTAGATATTATCTACCTATTTATTGATTTTAGATTGTAGTGAAATAAATAGGTATGTCTTCCTGTATATCTTAGGTAAAATGCATGAACTGTGGCATTTGTTTTCTAAAATTGGAACAAAATTCTGGGCCATTGATCTGATTTAGGGAAAAGAAAAGCTGTGAATAAATGTAGCCTGCAGTAAGATTTCCATTCCATGGTGTCAAATATCTCCTTTTGAACTGCTTCAACAAGAGAAGGTATTAAGTGTCCCTTTGCAAAGTTTTCATTGGGGAGAGCTACTGTACAAAAATGCACAAGCCACCCACGAGATTTGTATTGCACTACAGTCCCCCTCTGAATAACCAGTTACTAAAAAGTGTGGGACAAATGGGTAAAGATTAATTTAGCAAAAAAGTTCTATAGAAGTACAGAAATTTAGAGGTAGTTATGAAAAATCGACTTAAGATTCCCATTACAAGAATAAGTTTTTTTTTTCCTTAATCATCTATTGAATGCACACTGTGGTCAATGAAAATTGATGTAACATATTTTTTTTTGATAGGTTTTCGCTATAGGGCGTGTGCGCTCGCCAGATAGACAGAGAGAGACATAGAGACAGAAAGCAAGAAATCACCCCCCAGAGGGGATGGTCACGCCGCAATCCCTTCTCCTCCATTCTCCTCTCGGGATCTTGGGCGCGCACGCACATGCGCCCGGTGTGAGTTTTAAGCCACCGGGTCCAGGATGCGAACCGCGGTCGACTACATGGGAGTCCAGCGACATAGCCATTACGCTAACTGCTGGTTCCCATGTAACATATTTTGAAAAATCTTTCTTAAAATACAGATGATTCCAATGTTTAGTACTCAAGTTACTTTTATTTGGATTATAGGAAGGCATAAACAGTGATCAATTTAAACTGCTTCACATCCTTTTTAAAAAATTAATGCTAAAGTTGACAATATGTATTTATAATAAAGTCGACAAAGATATTAAGTTTCTTTCTTTTCTTTTGCTTATTACAAAAAATAAAATCTTTTGGGAGCCAGCAGTTAGCGTAATGGCTATGTCGCTGGACTCCCACGTAGTCGACCGCGGTTTGCGTCCTGGACCCAGTGGCTTAAAACTCACGCCAGGCTCGTGTGCCTGCGTGCCCAAGATCCTGAGAGGAGAATGGAGGAGAAAGGATTGCGGCGTGACCATTCCCCCTGGGGGGTGATTTCTCACTTTCTGTCTCTATGTCTCTCTCTCTGTCTGGCGAGCACACGCGCCCTATAGCGAAAAACCTCTCAAAAAAAAAAAATCTTTTAATGCCCAAATAGAAAACAAAATTTAACCACAACTCATTATTCATTAGATGGCACAAACACAGTCTATCAGATACTTAATTTTTATATTTAATTAAATATGGCAATGATACTTGAAAAAAATCACGTTCTATTTAAGATAATCTGACTCATTGTGCCAATATAGATTTAGTCATGCTAAGCTCTGTGATTGTAAGTTAATATGAATTCATTTAAAAGATTTTTATAAAAAGAAGCTTATATATCTAAGATATAAAGTACCATAGTTATCGAAATAATAATCAATACCTGGATATTTCTGACAGAGAGATACAGAGTGATGTTCACTGCAGGAAGTAAAATTCCATGTCCCAGTAAATGGTGACTTTTGGAGGTTGAGCATTACAGCACAGTGATAAAGGGACTCCTCTTCAAAAAACTAAACAAAAAGGCAATAGTAATAATAATAAATCAGTAATAATATAAAAAATAAGCAATCATTAAGCTAACAGTCTGAAGAGCCTAGCAAGAAAATTTTTGGTCCCGGTTTTGGTTTTTCCCCTGAAAAAAATCCCATGAAGGAATTGATCACAAAGTTTCTAAGAAAATTCTGATAAACTTAAAAAGCCCAGGAAAAGGGCAACTAACTTTAGAAATTAAAAACAAAATAGTGGCACTTTTGATAAATACATCTTCAAAACAGATGAAGAAAAGTTTAGAAATAAGACAAAACAATTCATGTAATTTTTTTGAGAGGTTTTTGCTGTAGGGTGTGTGAGCTTGCCAGAAAGACAGAGAGAGACAGAAAGACAGTAAAGCAAGAAATCACCCTCTAGGGGGTATGGCCACACCACAATCCCTTCTGCTCAATTCTCCTCTCAGGATCTTGGGCATGCATGCACACATGCCCAGCGTGAGTTTAAGCCACCGGGTCCGGGACTTGAACAGTGGTTGACTACATGGGAGTCTAGTGACGTAGCCATTATGCCATCTGCTGTTCCCAATGTAGTATTTTTTTAATCTGAAAATTTATTCAAAGTTTATTGCCCTATATATTTCTGTATGTTTGAAACACAGGAATTACAAAAATAAGAAAAGTAAACTTATCCCAAAGACTATAGATTAAAAAAAAAAAAAAACCCAATGAATATTAAACCAAAAATGAAATAAAATAAATGTAGTAAATAATAAAATAAGAAATATAAACAAAATGGATCTGGGTAAAACCTTATGTGAAGGTAAACATGTATCATTAAATGTATTCTTTTATATAAAAGAAAAAATGAACTGAGAACTTAATGTAGGAGGTTAGAAAATAAACAAAAGCCTAACTTCAAGAAAAACAGGATAGAAAAATGTAGCAGTATTTGTATGTAGTGTTCATAAATATAGAAAATAAACCAAAGTAGAGGGTGGAGAAAATGACATGCACTTATTTTTGTAAAAATCTCTATAGGGAAAAAAAAAAATCAATCAAAATAAGATACAAAGATGTGTTCCCACCAACCCCAGAGAAAGAGAAAGGGACAAAGCATCCCATGGTGGGGTGTAGTCACATCACAGTCCTGTCTCTCCCATTTCTCTGTCCTGTCAGGATTTGGGGCACACACACATGCTATATGTTTTTCATGCTGCCATGACCAGGATTCAAACTGTGCAATTGGCCACGTGAGATCTGGCTCCCTTAATCACTAGGCCAGACGGTTGGCCGAGATATGGAGATTTAAGGTGATGATACAATGCAACTCTAGTCTAGTACATTTGAAAATCTAAATAAAGTAGACAACTTTCTTGAAAAATAACAATGAGCATAATTATCAAAGGTGAAAGTGAAAACACCAAAATGTACTAGTAACTTTGGAAGAAATTGAAAATTAATAATAATGGCTTTTAAAAAAAAACTGTATGTTAGCACAGCTTTAAATTAATTATCTTAATTTAAAGGGACCAGCAGTTAGTATAATGGCTATGTCGCTGGACTCTCATGTAGTCGATCACAGTTTGCGTCCTGGACCCGGTGGCTTAAAACTCACGCAGGGCGTGTGGGCGTGCGTGCCCAAGATTCCGAGAGGAGAATGGAGGAGAAGGGATTGCAGCGTGGCCATCCCCCCTGGGGGGTGATTTCTCGCTTTCTGTCTCTCTGTCTCTCTGTCTGGCGAGCACCTGCGCCCTATAGCAAAATCCTCTAAAAAAAAATTATCTTACATAATCCTCACATTGGCTCTATGGGGCAGGTATGATAGTATCAAAGCTTACAGGTGAGAAATCGAGATTTAAGAGACTCCTGACCCTGGCAGCTTGATGGATGCACTGGGATAGTGTGCATGTGTGCCCCAAGTCGCAGTAGAATAGAGAGATGGGTAAGAAGGGATTGCAGTGTAATTCTCTCCATTGGGAGGTGCATTCTCCCTGTCTTTCTCAGTCTTTCCCTGGTGAACACACATGCTATCTGGAAATTTATTTTTTAAGAATTTTTAAAAATTTTAACTTTATTTATTTTAATTTTACACGAGAGAGAGAGAGAGAGAGAGAGAGAGAGAGAGAGAGAGAGAAAAGTGAGAAAGCAAGCCGCCCCGTCTGGGACTTGAACTGTGCTTGGCCATGTGGGAGTCGAGCGCCCTTAACAACCATGCCACCTACCAGCTCCTGGAAATTAAAAAAAAAAAAAGCAATAAACACAAGAAAAGTGAGCACGCTTAATGTTTACAACGTCATAAAATCAATAAATACATGGGACCAACTGCTATTATGGTTGTTAAGGCACTGGGTTCCCACATGGCTGAATATGGTTCAAATCCCAGACCTAGCGGCTTGAAAACCACAACAAATAGATAAACAAACAAGTAAGTGTCTTTTTAAAAATTCAATATTACATAGTGTTTATGACAGATACATTTGCAAAGAGTAAGAACATTCATAGTTCATGAAATTGGATTATTTTTTAACTTATGAAAGTTTGTTTTTATTAGAAATCAAGAAATATTAAATACATCATTTAGACTACCATTAGCAAGAATTTTAAAAAGATAATGCTCAAGGGAGGTGATGCAGTAGAGAGGCTAAGAATGCTGGTTCTGCAGTTTTGAACCTAAGTTTTGTTTTTAATTTGCTAGAGAGTTGCGTGTGCTTGTGGGGAGAGACAGAGATAGAAAGGGAAAGTAGGAAACCAACCCCTATGGGGGATCATGCCACAGTCCCTTCTCCATTTTTTCTTTCAGGATTTTGGGCACAAATGCACATGTGCCCAGGATGTATCCCAGGCCACCAGGTCTGGGACTCTGTACAGTCAGCCATGTGGGATCCAGCCTTCTCACACCACTGGCTGGCCTGGACCTAGATTTAAATCTCAACTCTGCACACATTGGCTGCACAATCACTGACAAGTTTTATAACTGCCTGTTTCTGAGTTTCTAAGATGCGGTAGAGGTAACAAACATCTTTCATAGTTACTGTGCTGATTAAATGAAATAATGCATGTGATGCATTAGCAGAGTGCCTGGCACATATAAACATTTGTGGGGCCTGATGATGGTGCACTGGTAAAACAAAATGCTCTGCAAGGTTGACCCACATGGGAAGATTCCAGATTCCCACCACAGACATCCCTGAATATGTGGGGCACATATAGGCAGATGATCTGGAACCTCCTGAGGCTTCAGGTAGATTATGGAGTTAGTTGAGGGTGCCATCTCTCTGTTTCTCTCTGTTTTTCTTGCTTATGGAATAAATAAATAAATAAAAGGAACTTTAAAAAAGTTTGTGGAAGGTCCAGCAGATAATGTGGTGGTTAAGGTGTTGGCTTTCCACATGGCCAAATTCAAGCCCCATACCTGGTGGCTTGAAACTCATACTGGGTGCGTGTGTGTGTGTACCCAAAATCCCAGGAGGAGACTGGAGAAGAAGGGGTTGCAGTGTGACCATCTCCCCTGGGGGGTGATTTCTTACTTTCCCTCTCTCTGTCTCTCTCCAGTGAGGGCATATACTCTAAGGAAAAAAAAAAAAAGAAAAAGAAAGAAAGAAAGAAAAGAAAAAGCTCTAGAAGAAAAAGATTCTGAAATACTCATTGTGATTCCCTAGATTAGGCTCAAATATGATTGGTTTGAGACTCATTTGGTCATGAAATTGATTGAGTGGATCTTGGCTAATATTTGTGATAATGAAATAGATGGATAGGATAGGATAAGAAAGGAGAATGGAATGAAAATATTGGTTTACATAATCTCTAAATTAAGTATTAGTTACTAAAAATTCTTTCAGTTCAATATAATATCTATATCTATGTACTAGGTGATTTTTATTTATTTATTTTTCATTTTTTTGGAGAGGTTTTTGCTACAGTGCACATGCGCTCACCAGAAAGACAGAGAGAGAGAGAAAGAGAGACAGAAAGCGAGAAATTATCCCCCAGGGGGGATGGCTGCGCCACAATCCCTTCTCCTCCATTCTCCTCTCTGGATCTTGGGCAAACACGCAAACGCACCTGGCTTGAGTTTAAGCTGCCGGGTCTGGGACTCGAATAGCAGTCAACTACGTGGGAGTCCAGTGACATAGCCATTAGGCTAACTGCTGGTCCCGTGAACTAGGTGATTTTTAAAATGTGTTTTTTACTGTTGGGTATGGGAAAAGATTTAAAAAATCACTGTCCTGGGACCAGCAGTTAGTGTAATGGCTATGTCACTGGACTCCCATGTAGTCAACTGCAGTTCTAATCTTGGATCTGGTGGCTTAAACTCACGCTGGGTGTGTATGTGTGCAAGCTCAAGATCCCGAGAGAATAATGGAGAAGAGATTGAGGCGTGGCCATCCCCCCTGGGGGGTGATTTCTAGCTTTCTGTCTCTCTGTCTCTCTCTGTCTTTCTGGAGAGCACATGCACCCTGTAGCAAAAACCTCTCAAAAAAAGAAAAAAGAAAAAAAAAAAACACTGTCCTAAATTTAAATGGAATCAGAGTTGACATTTTTTCATTGTGTTTACTCTTTTATAACTTCCCATTTTCTGTATTAACCAGGCATTATTTTGATATTAACCAGGTATTATTTTTGGTGCATAGTTGCACACGGTTCAGAGTTCCCATTGCTACCAACATCAACCTTGAGCAAAATAACACTATGTCAGGAACATTAGTTGACTATTCTCTAGGACAAATTTTTTAAATTCAACCTTTATGTTAATTTCTCAATCTTTGCCCTTTTAGCATGATTTCAATATAACTACTGTCTATATAATGTTCCCTTCCTGTCTACAGCTTCACCCTCAGCTCTTAAGGAAAAATGGTCTCCACGCACCAGTTTTATACTTTTTACCTCAAGGGACTGAGGCTGAGAGCCCAAAGTCCACCATGTAAAGTACAACATTTATAGTTGCTTCCAGTTACAACTCACTACTTGATGATTTTACACTGCTGAGGAATAAGTGCTATGGAATCTGGTGCTACTGTGAAAAACTAGGCCCCGCTCGAAGGCTGGGAAAGTACCTGTCATTCTTGCAACAGTTTTATTAAGCTATAATTCATATGTGACACAGCCATAATTCATAGCTTCCGTTTAAAATATACATGTGATAGTTTTTAGTGTACTCACAGAGTTGTATGATCATGCCCTAATCAATTTTAGAACATTTTCACCACCCCAAAAGAAACCCCACAGCCTTGAGCCTTACCCTCAATCCTGCCATCTTCCTTAGCCTCTAGCACTTATCTACCTTCTGTCTTTATAGATTTGCCTAGTCTGCACATTTCATGTAAGTGAAAGCATACAATAGGCCTTTGTTTCTAGCACAATAACTTACGGGAGACTCATATTTCACAGAGCTACGCAGATTATTGATTTAAAAAGCCTTACATTTGTAGGTATTCCTAGCCTCCGACCAACCAATAACGGGTGAAAATTACTGTATGTCAGCTTTCTGTTATCTGTCCATTTGTTTATCTTTTCATGGGCAGTCCAGCGCAAACCAATCCATAAAGTAGCTTCCATATCCGGAAGCAAGGACGTAATAAAATCTGTTAGAAAGAGATTAAAAACAAAGCATTTGACATCAAATTAAGATATGAAATATGTCAATGAATATCTTTTACATAACTACCTATCAAGACAGTCTTTTACCTACTCTGTAAAAAAGTGGTTTAATAGATTATTTATAGGGCCAGCCCTGTGACCTAGTGATTGAGGTGACTGGATCCCACATGGCCAACCACTGTTCAAATACCAGTCCTGTGACTTGAAAAACATGCCAGGGCCACAACAAGATTTTTTTGTTACTGGGCACCATGCACCCACTGGAGAGAGAAAGACAGAGAGACAGAAAGCAAGAAATCACCCCTCGGGGTATGGCCACACTGCAATCCCTTCTCCTCCATTCTCCTCTCAGGATTTTTGGCATGCACATACACGTACCGGCGTGAGTTTTAAGTTGCTGGGTCCAGGACTCGCTCTGCGGTCAGCCATGTGGGAGTCCAGCAATGTAACCATTACACCATCTGCTGGTCCCATGTGCCCATAATCTTAATAGGATCGAGAAAGAGAGGAAAAGGGTGTGGCCACACCCCATTGGGGCATGCTTTTTCCCTTTCCCTTCTCCCTGTTTTTCTCTGACGAGTGCATGTACTCTCTGACAATAAAAAAGAAAAGTAAAACCAAAAATGATATTTTACATGTTAATTTCCCCCAGCTGCCAACAACTAACGTGGCCCCCAGATCAGAGCACACCGTATTTCCCAAACAATTCCGGTACCTTGTTCACTCTGGCTTAACACTGAAGGGAGGGTGCCACCATAGGAGTGACAGGTGTCACTTGCTTGAGAAAATGTAAGAGACTTGGGTGTGATCTTTAGAAAGCACTGCGAACAAAGATACATAGAAAGCATAAGAATCCAAACATGGGAAAGCTCACCTAGGAAATAAAGGTATCATCTATCAGAGGGCTAGCCATTTTTGCTCTGTGAGATATGGAAATTTACAAAGCTACCACAACCCATTGTAAACTACTGAAGCGTGGTCTTCAAACTATCATGCGGTTTCACCAATCTCCTATTTATAGCATTCTTCTCATGTGCTAGGCAGTTTATGTAGTATTGTCTCATTTAGGTCTCACAAAAGTGGGGAAACCAAGGCACCAGGAAGTTAAATAACTTGACTCATAAGTGAAATAGTCACATGGTGGTAGGTCAATACGCAGACTTTATTCCATCTGATTTCAAAGCCCGTGTCCTTAATCATTACCTCCTTATATCAAGAAAGATTTTAAAATAAATCATCGCTCTTTGCCTTGACAGGTTATTTTAATTCAAATTTATATTAGCCACAAATATTAACATAGTCCCAGTACCTGGGGAAATTTAAAATACTGTCTTAATTTTTTTTTCAACATTCTTAAAAACTTTGCCAGAGGGCAGCTGTGCCTCCCCTAGAGAGACACAAAGACAGAAGGAAAGTGAGACGGAACCCTCCATGGGGAAGGGTCATGCTTCAATCCTTCTCCTTCATTTCTCCCTCCTTTTGAAATTTTGGACTTTCACATACATGTGCCTGGTGTGTTTTTCAAGGACCATGTTTGGGACTCAAACCATGCACTTAGCCATGTGGGATCCAGCCATTTTAAATACCATGCTACCAGCTGGCCCAAATACTGTCTTAATTTTAAAAAGTCAATTTTACTATTGGTGTTCAGCTGCCAAACAGCTCTCCCTTTTCCTTCTGGACATTATGATCACTTTCGTGTGGAGAAGTAATTCCCAATTGTGTTCCTTAAAACATCATACATTTTTGTTTTTAGACGTCTTACAGACTGGAGTGGTCGATGAAATATAGGCAAAGTCTTTGAAATGATTCAAGAAAGAACACTCTGACCTTAAACTTGAAAACTTTATATTTAGGATGAAACAAAAGGAGCCTGATTTTGTGCACTTCTTGGAGTCTCCATACCAATCCATTCGGCTTACCTTCAGATTTTTTTTATATGAGAGAAAAAATGTTTTTAACACACAGTAGTATTTCATTTTTAGCAAATGCATTTCCTAGCAGATACATAAACCAAGAGGGATTATACATCTCCAAAAGGTAGGCACAGAATGCAGCATTTCAAAATCCAAACCTATTTAATCATAATACACCCAGCGGAAGGCAAGATCAATGATGAATATTTTGTAGCATATGTGTAGTTCCCAAAGATGAGTTTGGCAAATGCTGGTATAATTTGATTAGCAGATGTTGCTTGAGTACTGTCCTTCAGAAGAAAAGAAAACACCAGCCAGAAATCGTCACTTTCCTATGTGTCACATAATCCTATCTAGTTAGTTTATTACCGTCTATTGACAGACCAGCTTCAGCAATTGAAACATTAGTAACAACAGAATAGAAATGCTGCGTTTTGAAAGACCTTAGTAGTCTAATTTGAGAGTTAACTTTTTATATTGCTCATGGTTTCTGGCAACATGGAGGGTTCGGTGGGATACTGAAATATGCAGGGGCTATTATAGTGAAGCTATCTGATGCGTTGTCTTTCTGCCATGGGCCACTGGACCTACACCACAGCAATCATTGTTTGCATGATGTAGCAATTCTCTTTTTACCTTATTCTGAAAAGGAATCCAACTGCCAGAACACTGCACTTTAGCTGCAGAATCTGGACTATATTTCTCTAATGAAGACACATTATATTTTTCACAGATGAAGGGCAACTTGGTGCTACAGTCTGCTGGTTTATTTATGTCTGAGAAATAAAAAATAGTATGACAATTGTGAGAATTCTTCATTCAACACATTTTACAAACCACCTACTAGTAAAAAAAAAATAGATTCTTTAAATCAACCTTTCCCAAATGCTATAATATTTTCCCTTTCTTCTCTAGCCATTTCATTTTTTAAATGATTATTATTCATATCAGTAGGTAAAGGCATATCAACATTGTCTATAGTAAAAGCTCACATTCAGTCGCTGCCATACCATTCATAGACTGATAGCAAGAAAAAGGGGAAATCTAAAGAGGAAGGAAAGGGGACCAATACTGTATTTCGAAACTACTGTGTGTTTATCTTTTTAAGTCTGTCTATATGCTTATCGATGATAAAAGTGGTAAGTTTATTTCTCAATAATTGTTTATGATAAAGGAAGTTAAAATATTCACTGAGGAAAGCACCTTTATTTACACTAGAAATTTGACCTACTGTCATTAACGATAAATCAGAATGAGATATAATCACGTAACATGTAATCAAAAGGAAAACACGATAACGCTCGTAGGGGAACTGAAGTACACATTGTTCATAATCAGCACGAAAGGATTTGGAATTGACTTTACCCATAAGCCAGGTCCTGGCAGACATGTACAAGCACTCATCTCCAAATGGCATATGAAAGCGGTGCCATGGATGTCGTGAGCTGAAAGGAGAAAAGAGCTTTGACAACTCATAATGTAATCAGGGGGTCCATTCTGGGTTTTTGTTTTTTTTAAATTTTGCCAGAGGGTGCACGTGCTCGCGTACGCAAGAGAGAGACAGAGACAGTGAGAAAGAAGGAAAGTAAGAGAGCACTCCCCATGGGGAATGGTCATACCATAATCCCTTCTCCTCTCTCTCCCTCCTTTCAGGATTTTGGGTGTACACGCATGTGTGGTTGGCCTCTTTCAAGACACTGGGTCCTGGACTCAAACCACTCAGTAAGTCATGTGGGATCCAGCCATTTCAACCACCACGCCATAGTCTAGCCTCCATTCTGATTTTTATTGCATGTTACTGTAATTCGAAGTTTAGTGCTGATGCTATTGTTTTATGCTGTCTTTTTCTTGACACTAAGATGTAAAAGGAATTTGCTTCTCTAATCTAGGCAGTTTATAGATCAATGTCAAAACTACTTATAAATGATAATTCATTTAGTTACAGGGAATCTGGGATGCCTTGTTTTAAATGATAGCTTTATAAAGACAGAATCAATGATGTCACATACTATATAAAATGACGATCTATTGGCTGCTCACTAGTTCTCATCCACCATTTCTGTTCCTCGCCAGATATCTGAAAAACAAAACAACCATCCATCCTTATAAGTGCTGAGTTTTCTAGGAGAGTATTGATTTAAATATCCACCCCCTTACTATAACCACAAATCACTAACAGTTCTAGACTTTCCATTACTTTGGTCTGGAAATTATACAAACAAGGACCTTTCACCAAAAAATAGTTTGAAATCTCAGGGAACCAGCAGTTAGCGTAATGGCTATGTCGCTGGACTCCCACGTAGTCGACTGTGGTTCGCGTCCGGGACCCGGTGGCTTAAAACTCACGCCGGGCGCGTGTGCGTGCGTGCCCAAGATCCCGAGAGGAGAATGGAGGAGAAGGGATTGCGGCGTGACCATCCCCCCTGGGGGGTGATTTCTCGCTTTCTGTCTCTATGTCTCTCTCTGTCTGTCTGGTGAGCGCACGCACCCTATAGCGAAAATCTCTCCAAAAAAAAAAAAAATAGCTTGAAATCTCTTTGAAATCTCCCACAGACCCTATTTGGAATACAAATTTACATCAATTATGCAAATTAACATAGCTAATATGGTCAGTGTTAATTATAAACATACATTAATTGGGCATATAGACTCTAATGAAGACTAATTGTAATTTTAAAAATATACCAATCATCTTTCTCTCCCCAAACTATTATGTAATGTTACTTATTAGTAGAAACAGAAACTACAGTTAAATATAAAGTTAACTTTGAGTTAAAAAAAAGTCACTAAGAAATCAGGACCATTTATATTCTCTACTGAAGCTCATCTTATATCTTGACATTTATTATTTTTATTTCTTTTCTTTTTTAAAAAAATCATTTATTTATTTATTTACTTGGAGAAGTTTTTGCGATAGGGTGCGTGCACTTGCTAGACAGACAGAGAGAGACAGACAGAAAGCGAGAAATCACCCCCCAAGGGGGATGGCCACACTGCAATCCCTTCTCCTTCATTCTCTTCTTGGGATCTTGAGCATGCATGCACATGCGCCTGGCATGAGTTTTAAGCCACTGGGTCTAGGACTTGAACCATGGTCAACTACATGGGAGTCCAGCAACATAGCCATTATTCTAACTGTTGGTCCCTTTATTTTTTTAAAGACTTATTTTATTTAATTTTATTTATTCATTTTTAAAATTTGACCAGGAAGAGACACACACAGAGAGAGAAGGAAAGTGAGAAAGCAAGCTGCCAGGTCCAGGACTTGAACCATTCTTAGCCATGAGGGAGTATCCAGTGCCGTAACTATCACACTACCTGCTGGTTCCCGACATCTATTATTAATCTTAGATATTTTAAAATACTAAGTGATTCTATTTAACTTTTTTTTTTGTAGAGGTTTTTGCTGTAGGGCGCATGCACTTACCAGAAAGACAGAGAGAAAGAGAGAGAGAGAGACAGAGACAGAAAGCAAGAAATCAAGCAAGAATGGCCGTGCCATAATCCCTTCTCCTCCATTCTTCTCTTGGGATCTTGGGCATGCACACACACGCATCCGGCATGAATTTAAGCCACCAGGTCTGGGTCTTGACCTGTGGTCGACTACATGGGAGTCCAGTGATGAAGCCATTATACTATCTGCTGGTCCCTCTATTTAATGTTTCTAACATGACACAACAAATCTTGATGTTATGAGACATGTTTTATGTTAGAACATCTAGGATTTGTAGGATTTTGCGCTGTTTTTTAATGATATAATTATAAATATAAGGTCCAGCCACAGCAGTGTGGAAGTACAGCAATCAGCTGCAATGCTGAGAGATCAGGGTTCCATGACCAGGTCAACCTGTACACTCTGGGCACTCGCACATGAACCCGCCATCCTGCCTGGCTGAGAAAGGCTGGGTAAATAAAAATAAATTTAAGGAAAAAGAAACATATTTTAAATGCATTCTTTTAAATTACATTTGCTATTTTGTTTTTGATGGCTTTCAGTCCTGCAAAAGATGTTATGGTAGCAAGAAAGCTGTGATTGCTAGCGCAGTACAGGACGGCTTCTTCGTAGTTTAAGTGAGGATCGGCAACAAACCAATATTCACTTCCTTCAATTACAACCGGAGGCCCATGAATTCCAGCACGCTCTAAAGAAGGAGAAGAAGATTTGAATCATGACTGTGCAACCCAAATTGCTCCTTCTAAGCACAGGTTATGTCCAAAACGGTTTACAAACAGTACACAATCCAGTCCATCTAGGTTACTGGAGATCTGGTTGGAGATCCTGCAAGCAGCTAAGGACTCACGAGTCAGTGCTCTGCCATTTTCCTGTTCTCAACAGACAAGGTTAAAATCCAACTTCACTGCCTCATCTCACATCAGCCACTTGCCTTCTTCGTCTGGAGATATTTTATTTTACTTCAAGTTGTGACAGAAGAACCGGCTCTTATGTAATTAGATACATTACAAAAGGTGAAAGCTTTGGTTGAATTTCAGTTCTCTTAACTCACCTGGATTGTACCAGCTGGGTGTTTTTGGAGTGAGGCCTGTATAAGGAAGAAAGCAAGTGACTTAAGTTTAGTATCCAATTGCAGATGATAGCATACTTTAAATAGAGCTTTTATTGAGTTCAAAAGCACTTGCAGGATTGCTGTAGTTTGTGCATTTCCAGTCAAACCATTTCATTTCAAGTTATGATCGCTCGAGTTGAACTTTGTGGCACTTATGCTAAAGCAATCAAAAGGAAATATCTATGAAATATTAATACAATATTACAAATAGTCCCTTACCTAGTACTATGAAAGTCACAAAGAAAGACTAAGTGGATTAAACATAATTAAAAATAAAAATAAGCCAATGGCGATATTGTATATGTTACAGAGAAACACTAAGGAACCAAGATAATCATCACTGTGGAATGAGGTTAGTCAGGAACAGCTTTGTCCTTCAGTGGAATCTGAGTAACTGTTCCCTAAACCTAGACGGGTAGAGTTTATTATCTCCGTAGAGACCCTAGGGAACCTGCGTAATGAGCCAGTACTGAAGCGACTGAGAAGGTGAGACAAAACTGGAAAGAAAATAAAAATCACCCAGAATTCCTGGATGGAAACAAAGGAAATATGGTATTCTACATAATTGTGGGCTTTGAAGTTGGGTAGTTCAGTGTCCAAATAGCCCTCATGGACTCCTCATCCAGGAGAGGCACAGACCAACCCAGGAACCAAATGCCAGTCTTCCTCATAGCTCCAGCATCATGCAGCAGCATGGTACTGCTGGATCACTACGGCAGGGCCTACATTTTAAGTTTCTTTTTCCTTTTTTTTTGTAATCTGCCAGAGGATGCATGCACTCACCAAAGAGTGACAGAGAGAGCGAGCGAGCGAGTGAGACAGGGTTACCCCACCTCCCCAAAGTATGGTCACACTGCAACCCCTTCTCCATTTCTCCCTCCTTTTGGGATTTCGGTACATGCATACATGTGCTGGTGTGTGTGTGTGTTTTTGGAGAGGCTTTTTGTTGGTGTTGTTGTTATAGAGTGTGTGTGCTTGCCAGAAAGACAGAGAGAGACAGAGAGACAGAAAGCAAGAAATCACCCCCCAGAGGGGATGGACACACTGCAATCCCTTCTCATCCATTCTTGGGCATGCATGCACATGCACCCGAAGTGAGTTTAAGCTGCCAGGTCCGGGACTCAAACCATGGTTGACTACAGTCTGTGTGTGTGTGTGTGTGTGTGTGTTATCACTTATTTATTTTTGCTTGCTCCCAGAAACACTTACTTTACATATTAAACAATTTTTGCTCATACTCCATAGTTCTTGACAGTTAATAAACAACTTTCAAAATTTCAAAAAACTGAGTTTCAAAGATAATGTTCAAAGTGTTTGTTATAATTTTGTTTGTGTCTCTATAACAACAGAGACAGTATGGTTTTAAGATTTTTGAGAAACTATTTACATGTCAACTACTCAAACTGTTGAAAAGGAAATGCCCAGCACACAAATCACACATAAACCTCAATTCAGCCCTGCCCAAGTATTCTGTGATATACCATCAGGTAGCAAAGATCAGTCTCTTTTTCTTCCTTCAAAGTCTTCCTCAAGATGACATTCTGGTTGTGGTTGCTCTTTTGCAGTCTCTACTGATTACAATGCTGGGCTCGAAAAGTCCAGGTTGTTTTATGGTACAAATTCTTTCATATAGCTTCTCTAGTCCTTTCTGCCAGGCTGAACTGTTTATGGTGCCAGGCCATCTTTCCAAGGGCTTCTGTAGGCTTACTTGAGATCCACCTTAGTTCCATAGTTTTCTGGTTAATCTTCATATATGACATTCCAGTCAAAGCCCTGTCCATTAACGAGTATTTCCAATTTCTGATTCAATGTAACAGGTGTTATTGAACTTATGCAAATAACCATTCTGCCAGAAAATAAGAATATTCCTAAATATTTTCCAATTCTAGAAAGGCCAGGAAGGAAGAAAAGTTTATCTTTATATTTAAAGAAATAAAAAAGAAGAAAAACTATTTTAACAAATTGTTGAACCTATCAACAACAGCTCAAAAGAAAGCAAAATTCTTAAATTGGGAAAATGAAACGTAGTTTAAAAATAATCAGTAATGTTATACACAAAAGTCATAAAATTCTATTTCACCTGGTCAGTCTTATGTTCAGTCTCTCTTCTGCTGAATCTGCAAGTGTCACTGTGGTCTAATCTTTTTCTTTAAATCCTGGAAGTTAACATTCAGTGCTATTACTGATATTTCTTGTCCCTCACATTAAGTTGGTCATTCTTGGTTACCTTTTGTTCTCTTATTTCTGTATGTGTGTCTTTAGTTTTCCTGGTAGAGCACTCACTTCAGAACTTCTTGAAGAATGGGCCTGGTATTGGCAAATTCTTTCAGGTCTTGTATATTTGAAATTACTTTTATCCTTTCTTTCCATATAAAGTATAATCTGGAGAGTGTGTGCACGTGCCAGAAAGACAGAGAGAGCCAGAGAGACAGAAAGGAGAAATTACACCCCAAGAGGGATGGCCATGCTCCATTTCCTTCTCCTTCATTCTCCTCTTGGGATCTTGGGCATGCTCACACACATGCCTAGCGTGAATTTAAGCCACCGGGTTTGAGACTGGAACTTTGGTCGACGACATGGGAGTCCAGTGACATAGCCATTACGCCAACTGCTGGTCCCCTATCTGAGAATGATTTTATCCTGTCTTTCCATGTGAAAGATAGTCTTGCTGGGTATAGTATTCTTAGTTGAAACTGTTTTTTTACTTAACACTTTAAATATATTTTCCCACTTTTTCCTTGCTCACATTGTATCTGATGAGAGGTCTGATGTTAGTCTGATGGGATAACCTTTATAAGTAACCTGACATTTCTCTCTTGCCAATTTTAGAATCTTGTCTTTGTGGATTTTGCCCATCTGGCTATGATGTGCCTTGGAGACGATCTTCTTGGTTCTCAAGAAGAATCTCTTGATTCTATTCAGGGTCCTTTGTATTTTTTGGGTCTGGATATTTGAATGCCTCTCTAGATTTGGAAAGTTTTCTTCCAGGATTTCATGGAATAGATTATCAATGCCCTTATTAATTTCTTTACCTTCTGGGATACTGATTATCCAGATGTTTGGGCACTTAATGGTACCTAGTATTTCTCGTATAATATTCTCATTTTTTGTGTGTTATTTTCTGGGGTTTTTTTGGTTGTTTTTTTCTAGGTCAGAGGTTTTTCCTTCAACACCCAAGATTCAATCTTTTGCATGGACTAATCTGCTTTTAATGCTTTCGAGGGAGATTTTGATTTCCTGTATTGCAGCCTTCACTTCTAACAGCTCCATTTTATTCTTTTTTATGGTGTGTATTTCCTCTTTCAGATGGTGCACGAACTTCCTCACCTCATGGAACTCGTTCTCTCTTTTCTCCTGCATCTTCTGGCATTCATCGTCTCTCAGCTCTTGCATCTCATTTAGTTTTGTCACTATGAATATTCTGAAATCTCTGTCAAACATTTCCATGAGTTCTACTGTACTATTTGTGGATGTTGAAGGATTGTTCTTTTCCCTTAGGGGAGAGATATTTTCTTGGCTTCTCATATTTCTTGTGCCTCTGTGGTGGTTTCTGGTCATTCTTGTCTGAGTAGTTCGGGGAGGAGGGGTCGGGAAGATGAAGTTTAGAGCATAACTTCCCTGAACACGTCAGGACACACTTCAGATTTAAAATAGTTTCTTGTCTGAATATTTGGGGGATCTGGAAATTGGAGTTTGGAGCACAGCTTCCCTCATGACAGTGTGTTTTTCAAGTTGCCAGATCTGGGACTCAAACTGTGCAGCTAACCATGTGGGATCCAGCTGCCAAACCACTGGATATCCCTTAAGTATTCTTTTAAAAATTGAGACTAGTGTGTCAAAAATTAGGCTCATAAAAATGTTTTTAGAAAAATTGCCTATAATGCCACTACCCAAACACAACTATTTTTATTGTATTTCTTGATGACTTGTACACAGAATTTTTTTTTTTTTTTTGGAGAGGTTTTTGCTATAGGGCACGTGTGCTCACCAGACAGACAGAGAGAGACAGAGAGACAGAAAGCTAGAAATCACCCCCCAGAAAGGATGACCACACTGCAATCCCTTCTCCTCCATTCTCTTCTCGGGATCTTGGGTATGCATGCACACGCGCCCGGTGTGAGTTTAAGCCACCAGGTCCGGGACGTGAACTGCAGTCGACTACGTGGGAGTCCAGCGACACAGCCATTACGTTAACTGCTGGTCCTAACACACAATTTTTAATGTTACATTAAAAAAAGAAAATCTTGGGGGCTGGCAGGTCGTGTGGTGGTTAAGGCGCTAGACTCCCATATGGCTGACTACAGTTTGAGTACCGGATCTAGTGGCTTGCTTTCCCACTTCCCTTCTCACTCTCTTTTTCTCTGTCTACTCTCTCTGGTGAATGTATGTGTACCATAGCAAGCAAAATAATAGTAATAATAATAATAATAATACTCCTACATGGTTGACCATGGTTCAAATCCTGGACCCAGCAGCTTGCTTTCTCTCTCTCTCTTTCTCTTCCTTTCACTCTGTTCCTCTCTGGTCAAATTAAAATAAATAAATAAATAAATGTTAAATAAAATAATTTTAAAAAAAAACCCTTGCATTCTGCTTTTCTCACTATTTAAAGTCAATAAGGGTAGATACAGCTTTCTCCAACACAAAAATCAACACAAAAATCCTGACAAGATTACAGAGAAGAGACTATGTGCTTTTCTTTTTTCTTTTTAAATATTAGTCAGCGGGTTTGTGCTTGTCAGAGGGACAGAAAGAGGGAGAGTGAGAAAGCAACCCCCAAGGGGAATGGTGACTCTACAATGCCTTCTACTCTTATTTCTTCCTTCTTTTTGGAATTTTGGACTTGCAAGCCTAGTCACACAGCATGTTTCTCAAACTGCTGGGTCTTAGGACCTGAACTTTGCAGTCATCCATTTGGGATCAAGCCTCCTTGATCACCAGGCCATGGGTAGGCCTTATACACTTTTTTTTTTCTTTCAGGTTTTTGCCATAGGGTGCATGTGCTCACTGGAGAGAGACAGAGAGAGTGAAAGTGAGAAGTCACCCGCAGGGGGATGGCCACATCATAATCCCTTCTCCATTCTCCTCTTGGATTTTTGGGCACATACACACACACACACACACACACACATACACACATGTGCCCAGTGTGTTTTTCTCTGACTTGGGTCCAGGACTCAAACGATGCAACCGACTATGTGGAATCTGGTGCCTTAACCACCATATCACCTGCTGGCCTCTGACCTTGGACGTTTTTACCTGACTTGTAGCACTATTGATGGAAATTATCCAACATGAAGAAAACTAATTAGCTT